TTTTTAATTTAATAATTTCATAAAATTTAATTTTAATTAATTAATTAATTATTTTGATATAATATAGTCTTTAGCTATAAAATTTGAACCTTCTACTTCTTTAACTAAATGTCAGCATCTAACTAATCTATTAGCAATATCTCGTGATATATATTTGATAATTATGGATGTATCTTTTTGGAAATTATTAGTAAAGTTAGAACAACTTTTAATTCCTTATTGTCATACACTTAATATTTTATAAACTGATAAAGTGCGACTACATGAAGTTTTGCATTGCTTTACTTATTTATATTAATTTTGGCAAAAATCTTCAAATAGAAATCTGGCTGAAAAAATTTTAATACGATTACAAAAAAGATGGGAATTATGGGAACAACCTCTTTTTATTCTTTTTTGACTTCTTCATTCTAATTATAAGACAAAATATTTTGCATTACCTTTAAAATCACAAATAAGTTATTTACATATAGGCAAATGGTTAATTTATTATTATAAAGCTTAGACTGGTCAAATTCCTGAAAATATTCTTAATGAATTTGATAATTTTTCACAAGGAATTAAATATCCTTTTGATAATGAATCTGTTACTCAATTTAAAAATAATATTCACAAATACTGGTGTTAGGTTCGAGATGCTTATCCAGAAATTAAAACTGTTGCAATATGCATTTTTGGTATTTGTATTAATTCAGCTTCAGTTGAACATTTGTAGAGTAGCATGGGAAATTTTCATACTAAAAATAGGAACTGGTTAAAGGTAATATTAAAACATAATTCTTTAAATAACTAAAATAAGTAAATTAAAATAATTTATATTAATTATATGTAGTTTACATGAGTATTAGAAATGGCTAAGTTGCGAGCTGATATTACTTATAATAAATGAATTAAATAAGAATTTAAATTAGCTACTATTAAATCATTACAAGAAAATATATATGTAAATGTACATAATAATGAAAGTGAAAAAATAAATGATATAATTCTAGATAACGAGATTTTATTAGATATTGAATCTGATTTAATTGAAGATAACTTCAAGGATCAAAATGATGAAAATTTAGAGATAGATCTTACTTTAAAATTCAATGATTATTTGAGTAAATGGTTGGATATACTTCAGCAAGAGATTAATTCTGAAAATGAGTTGGATGATGATTTATATGATTTTGATATAGATATCGAAAATATTGAGCATCCAGTATAAAATACTAATGCAAAATGGAAATTGGAAAATATATTCAAGTGTGATTTAAATTATCCTTTTTAAAGGATCATTTAATTTTTTTCATTTATTTCTATTATGATTTATGTATGAATTTATAAATATATTTTATTATAAATAAAATATAATTCGAAAAAAAAATTGACTTATTTTCTTTTTTATTAAAATTAAATTGTACAATATTTACATATACGATCCTATAAAGAATGCTAAGAAAAAGAAAAATATAACCTCTCACTATTTAGAATTACTTTCAAGAACCCATTCCGATTGGCAATAACCTTAGAAATATAAAAATATTATTAATCAAGAATGGAGGCTTTTATATTCTAAAAAAAATTTAAGTATATTTATTAATTTTTTAATATAAATAAAAAAATTTTGACTGATGATTCTATTCTCTTTTTATAGGAACTTACCTTTTATTCTAAGAGTTGAAAGTCCTTCGAATTCTACAAAAAGGTAAGCGAAAATTATTTTTTTAAAAAAAAAAGATTAACTAACGCTTCCTCTATACTTTCTAAGGAAACTTACCTTTAATCAAAGATGAGAACCTCTGAATTCTACAAAAAAATGACAATTGTTTTTTTTTAAATAAGTTAAAAAAAAATTAATTGTTGTTTTCCTTCTGATCTAAGATAAAGATTTTTGAATCCTACAAAAAAAGGTAAGTAAATTATTAGTTTTTTAATACCAATAAAAAAAAATTTAACTGATGCTTTCATTCTCCTTCCATAGGAACTTACCTTCTATTTCAAGTCTTGAAAGTCTTCCGAATCCTACAAAAAGGTAAGTAAAAATTAATTTTTTAACTAACATTCTCTCTATATCCTCTATAGGTCTATAGAAGCTTACTTTTGATTAAAGACTTTTGACCTACAAAAAAAAGGTGAGTAATAGTTAAAAAATAATATTAATTGCTATTTTCATCTCTTTATAGGAACTTACCTCCAATCCAGAATGAAAACCTTCAGATCCTACAAAAAAAAGGAGAGTAATTAGTTTTTTTTTTAAACAAATAATAAAAAATTAATTGTCATTTCCATTTTCTCTCCATAGGAATTTACCTCTGATTCAGGACGAAAACCTTTAGATCCTACAAAAAAAGATAAGTTAATTATTGTTTTTTTAATACAAATAAAAAGATTTCGACTGACGCTTCCATTTTCCTTCTATAGGAACTTACTTTTTATTCTAAGCCTTGAAAGTCTTTTGAATTCTACAAAAAGGTAAGCAAAGTGTTATTTTTTTTTTAAAAAAATAAAAAAATATATATATTAATTAACGCTCTCTCTATACCTTTCATAAGAACTTACTTTCAATCAAGGATGAAAACCTCTGAATCCTACAAAAAAAAGTAATTAGTTTAAATAAAGTTAAAAAAAAAAATAATTGCTGTTTCTATTTTTTCTCCATAGGAATTTACCTCCAATTCAGAACGAAAATCTTTAGATCCTACAAAAAAATGTAAGTTAATTATTGTTTTTTTTTAATACAAATAAAAAGATTTCGACTTACACTTCCATTCTCCTTCTATAGGAACTTACTTTCTATTCTAAACCATGAAAGTCTTTCGAATTCTACAAAAAAGTAAGCAGAGTATTATTTTTTTTTTAAAAAAATAAAAAAAATATATATATTAACTAACACTTCCTCTATACCCTCCATAGGAACTTACCTTCAATCAAGAATGAAAACCTCTGAATCCTACAAAAAAAAGGTAATTAGTTTAAATAAAATTAAAAAAAAAAAATAATTGCCATTTCCATTTTCTCTCATAGGAACTTACTTCTGATCTAGAACAAAATCTTTAGATCCTACAAATAAAAGATGAGTTAATTATTAAAGTTTTTTTTATTATAAATAAAAAAGATTTTGACTGATGCTTCTATTCTCCTTCTATAGGAACTTACCTTCCATTCAAGCCTTAAAAGTCCTCTGAATTCTACAAAAAAGTAAGTAGAGTGTTATTTTTTTTAAAAAAAAAATAAAAAAAATATTAACTAACGCTCTCTCTATACCCTCTATACCTCTATAGGAATTTACCTTCGATTATGGATGAAAACCTCTGGATCCTACAAAAAAAAAAGGCAATTTAACTTTATTTTTTTTAAATAAAAAAAAAAATAATAATAATTGCTACCATAGGAATTACCTTCTGATCCAGAACGAATCATATAAAAAAAAGGTAAGTTATTGGTTTTTTTTTTTATTTTTAATAAATTAAAGCAATTTAACTATAAGAACTTATCTCCGATTCAGGATGAAGATCTTTGGATTTTACAAAAAGGGTGAGTTTTTTAATACAAGTAAAAAAAATTTTTTGACTGACACTTCCATACTCCTTCCATAGAATTTATCTTGAAAGTCTTTCGAATTCTACAAAAGATAAGCAAAGGATTATTATTTAAAAAAAAATAAAAAAAAATAATATTATCTAACGCTTCCTCTATAGGAACTTACCTTTAATCAAGAATGAAGACCTCTGAATCCTACAAAATGAGGTAATTAGTTTTTTTTTTTTTAAACAAATTAAAAAAAGTAATTTAATTGCGTTTCTATTCTCTCTTCATAGGAATTATTAGTTTTTTTTTTCTAAAAAACAAATTAAAAAATTTAACTGTGGCTTTCTATACCCGATCAAAAGACAAAAAAAAAATTCGTAACTTACCTTCGCAAAAGAAATTTTTAAAATTAATACCTATTTTAATTAATTGTCTTATATAATCTTAATTATAAGATCACGTGATGATAAATGTACGAAATGCATTGTACTATAATATTTGAGTACAGTACATTATTTAGGACAGTACTAGTACAATTTCCAACCCTGCATATAAGGATACTGCTGTTGTTAAGGCTTACATGAATAAGTTCACTTCTCCAAAGGTTGCCTTAACTTAAATAATACTATTGCCACTTTAATACAACAAATATAACAGATGAATGTAAGTAATAATAATAGAAGAAATAATTAAGGCTATCAAGGCAATCGATGAAATGCTCAGCAGCAATACCAGATTTATCAACAGAATAATCAACAAGCATTAGTTCAAAGTAATCAGCCAAATTACAATGTCCAAAATAATAATCAGCAGCAGAAAGAAATCATCACTTGCTTTAATTGTAGACAACCAGGACACATAAGGAGAAACTGTCCACTTATCACCTTTGCAAACAATTAGTAAAATAACAATTTACCACCTATTATAACTAGAAGGTGTATCTCAAGAAGGTAATAGTATGGAACCTTCTACAGTTTCCTTGAACTTATCTATACAGAAAGCATTTGTAAATAGAAAAAGGAGAATCGTTGATGAAGAGGATGTAATTAAAGAAAAGGAAAACTAACAAAGAAACATTGTAATAAAGAAAACTACTAAACTAAAAGGAAAACGAAAGCCCCCTGCAGTACCTCCAGTAGTCAACATGGTTAAGCCATATACAACTTAACAATTCTTTAATACACAAGCAAATATAACGAATGGTTAACTATTAGCTCTAAATCAAAAGTTTACAATGGACGTAATTAAGAAATTATGAAAACCTATTACAAGGAAGCTAAATAAAGGAAAAGGTCTTGTAGTAGTAGAGGAAACAATCCACCCAGAAGGAAATGAATTAAATAGAAAACCCTCTGGATCAAAGGCAATGAATACTGAAGAAGTCAATGAAGGAGATGAGTATCTTGCATCATAAGAAATATATAACTCATCTAAAAAGGATGAACAAAAGTCAATGGCCTTATACTATCAAGCATATATCAAAAATAAGGAGATATTCTTGATCGTTGATTCAGGATTCTCAGGATGTATTATATCCTATGTATTACTTAAGAAACTAGGCATGCAAATATAAAGGAGTCAAAAACAATAATGATTAATGTGAATAGTGAAAGAAAAAAGCCTATGGGAATGGTTACAAATATTCCCTTGAGAATAATGGGAAAGATAATTTTCTTTGATGCAATCGTAACTAAAACAAATTCCTATGATGCAATTGTAGGAAATGATTGGCTAGAGAAAACAGATGCAAAAATAAGTTATGGAAATAAAATTATGATACTGTACTGGAGAGAACATACAATTAATATCCCATTGAATTTCACCAATCACCTTTAATTAAAACTGAACAAGTTGATAATAATGAAAGTGAAGAAGAGTATGAAGAAGAAGAATATAAAGAAGAGAATAAAGAGGAAAATGAACAAGAAGGATTATTCTGCTATTCTGAAGAAATCCCAATTGAAGAATTTCAAAAGATTGATAAGGAGTTAGAAAAGTCTACTATGGAAAATCAAAATATAAAGGAATGCTTTTATCAATATAAGGAATAAAAAAAGGAGCCTTTCATACTGGATGATTAATCGCACAGCAATTAAAAAGATTTAATGAATTCATGTCTCAATATATCAACCCATTCATTTGGAAAAATGATCAGTTTGAAAGAACAAATATTATCACACATTCTATCAATATTGGAAATGCAACGCTAATCAAGTAAAGGTTCTATTGAACCTCATATAAAAACTAAGAGTTTATAAAAGAAGAAATTGATCATCTGCTAAAATCAGAACTTATACAACCCTTTAAGAGCTAATGGACTTCACCTGTTATAGTAGTGGAAAAGAAAAATGGCAAGAAATGTTTATGTGTTAACTATCACAAGTTAAATAGCGTCACTAAAAAGAATAACTATCCTTTATCACACATTGATAATATATTAAAAATATTAGAAGGATCCAGATGGTTTACTTCCCTAGATCTTGCAAATGGTTTCTGGCAAGTAGAATTAGATCCTAAGGACAGAGAAAAGACTATATTCATTACCAGATTTGGCACATATGAGTTTAATGTTATGCCTTTTAGACTTTGTAATACTTCTGCAACATTCCAACGATTAATAGATACCATTTTACATGATATCTTATGGCAAAATGTAGTTGTATATATTGATGACATTAACATTAGCACAAAAACATT